AGTGATTACAACATTCAAAAAGAAAGTACACTTCATCTTGTACTTCGATTGCGTGGTGGTGATTATTAATAAAAAATCTACATTAAAATTAAGAATTCATCTAAATTAACTCTTGTTTTTTTCTATTATTCCCTTTGTTTGTGCTATTCATTATTTTGCATACTTGCATGATTTCTTTTATGCATTTCTTATTTATAAGCAGTACATGATTGATATTGTCTTGTTGAAAAGGAAATAAATGGAACAACTAAGATTTGATGCTAATAAATTTAATTTATAAATGAAAGAAAGATATTTTTCTTCTTTGAAGCATCTGGTACAAAAGATGAAGAAAAAGGTTATATTCAATTCTATGATATACTCTGTAAAATGTTACTCTTGAGCAGTGCTATAGATCAACATGTCAATATTGGTTAGGTATTTGTTGGTTTGTAATAGTAATGAAAATAGATCCAATTGCTAACAGGTGGACCTAGCTAATTATTATTTAAATTAGTGTTGTGTTTTAGTATTATCTGAAACAGAAAAGATCAAGTTGAATCTATTGTTGTGGATAATTCAAGTGTCGCTCATATTAAGAGTTTAATATTAGTGCTCTCTTTTTGTCAGTTTAAACCTTTTGTATTAATTGGTGTATTCTCTTTCTTATACGTCTTCTTATAATACCAGCTGAATTTTCGTTATTTAACTATTCGCTTTTAAGTATAGTTATAGTCTTTTCGTGAAATGAGAAGATTTTTGAGCGATTTGCTTTACTTCTCATCAAATTTTTTTTGGTATTATATCTTCTAATCTTCCTATGAAACCAACAAAAAAACATATCTGGCTTCGGCTATCGGACATATTTCTTTATTATATAGATTAGACTAAAGTGTATGGTTATCGTTTATGATAAACAGTCAACATAGAAAAATTATAACATGATGATGAATGTTGATTATCAGAGAGACTGAAAGAATGATTTGCTGGATCTTATATCTATTATTTACTTATCAAGGTCATATTTCATTTATTAGTTTCTACGGTTTCTTAGTTTTGAGTCATCAAACGTGCAAAATATGATAAAGTCTTGATATGTAAAATAAAACAAAACATATTATGTGTTGGTATTTGAGTATAGTTACGCACGTGGAGATTCTTCTTTTAATGTTGTGATCTTCAAAATTTTTTGTTTAGAATGTTTATATAGAAACAAATGTATCAATGGGTATTTACTAGAAATATGACAATTACTATATTTAATTACTGAACATATTTTATTGATAAATGATAAGCGTTGGCAAACACTTCCTTCTTGATTGATCATTTAGCATAGTTCTTTGTGTCTCACTGAATAGTTCTTGGCACTACCATTTATATCTGGATAGTTTTGAGCGTATTTCGACACCAGTGTGCATCTAAATGGTTAATTTTAAGAGTTGATACTGAACTATATCGTCATGAAAAAGTAAGTTTACAGGTAAGAGAAAACAACCCATCAATATTATACTAGTCTTTAGAATTTAGCAAAACCGAAATATTATATAAATATTAATAGATGAAATCACATTGTATTGTACTGTAATTGAAATTTACGTTTGTCAACATTTAGCATAGATAAATACATTAAAATACATTATGAATATGATATGTTCACAAACAAAAAAGTCAAAGTATTTTTTTTTTGAACCTCTTCCCTATATTGCCATCAATGCTCAGGAAATATTGCTTCATAATTCCACAAATTTCGCAAATACAACATACAATTCAAATACAATCTTACTTCTGATGACGAAATCTTATGTTTATGAGAACGAATGAAATTTCCAGCGCCCTCTCAAGTGCATCATTTGTTACTCATGCGATGAGTCATTTCTTTTTGATACAACCAGTTACACTCAACCCTTTTCTCTTCTATTTGTCATTGATAAATATGTGTCATCATTATTATATCTGAAATTTTCTGTCCACGTCTCGAACGTTCGAGCGCTGAATCATTTTCACACAACACAGAGTATAAAAACAACAACTTTTTTCACATTACTTCATTCATTTTTACTAAACATATACTCATTTCTTCTCATTGTTTACTTGCTATTCAATAATAACAATGCAAATCTTTGTAAAAACTCTTACTGGAAAAACTATCACACTTGAAGTCGAACCAAGTGACACAATCGAAAATGTAAAAGCAAAAATCCAAGATAAAGAAGGTATTCCACCTGATCAACAACGACTCAT